GCCGAGCGGCGAGCAAGCGCCTGCCGAGATATGGCCGAGATATGGCCGAGATATGGCCGAGATATGGCCGAGATATGGCCGGGCGGCGAGCAGGCGCCTGCCGACGGTGCTGCCTCCAACTGCGTGGTCCCGGGTGCGCGTGTCCCTCGGAGAGAGAGAGTAGGGGTGAATGGTCGCTCGTTCCTATCCGCAATCGAGGGGCTAGGCGCTGCCTTCCCGACGCTGCACTGCCTATACAGAGAGACTTGGCCCGGCGGCTACGGCGGCAAAACTGCCCGCGAATTGCGCGTTTTTGATCTGCTCTCTGGCCGGGAGTTCTCGCTCGTGCGTCCTTGGAATTTGTGCTCGCCTCCTCACCTACGTGCTACGAGCTCGTATGCCACGTTGCCGTCTGTGTTTGGGTTTCTAGGTGTGCGATTTGGAATTTGGCTGTTGTCCACTAACTTTTTGTTTATTTTTTGAGCTAGCCTTCGTAAACATATGTTCTATCTGAGGCCAAGGCGCAAGGTGTGGGGTTGGCTCTTAGCCCGAGAGGGGAGTTTCCGAGACCCACTACATGACCACGCACACATCACCGGGTGCACCCGGACCCACCCGGAGGGGCCCGGGAAGGGTCTAGCGGCCCTCCAGCGGCCCCCCAACGCCCCCCCCGCGGCCCTGATTTGGTAGGTATATCACACAAATGATGGGTCACTATAATACCCACGGGCCAGGGTACCGGAGCGTCGCTGAGCCTCCTCGCGGACGCGGAACTTTTGTTCCACCTCGGGGCTGTTCCAGTCGCTGTAGATCTGGAGGAGCTCCGCCTTGCAGCGGTAATACAGTTTCTCGAAGCAGGCTGCCCGAGCCTGCAGAATGGCACACTCGTGACACTTGTCCTCGTGGGCGAGCTGAATCCCGTAAACGTTCCGCATATCATCGAATTGCGCCTCGTTCAGGCCGGCGTCGATCATCCGACGGGTCACCCGACGTTCGAAGACGCTTTCCCGATCGCTGTCCGAAGACGCGTCGTCGGGACGAGAGTCGCTGGCAGGCAGGTCCTCGACCACCGGCTCCTCCTCGACCGCGGGCTCCTCTGGCGTCGGCACGTCCTGCAACGTTTCTGGAACGACAGCGAGAAGCGCCTCCGCGCCCGCCACCCTGCCGCCGCTTGCACTTGCCCAACTCCTTGTCCACGCCGCTCGCGTGCGTCTCGAGCCGCTTGCTCGAGTCGCGCGCCGCCAGCTCGCCGCGTAGGTCCCACACAAGGTACGCCAGCGCAGCCTTCTTCAGGTTCTTTATCTGGAGAGCCATCAGCGCGCCGCGCCGCTGCGACAAAAAGAGCGTGTTTACGGCAGCTTTCGCGGCGATGATGATGCCGTTGGTGACCTCGCCGACGATGCTGACCTCGTTGGAGGGTGCGGGGACGGGATGGTTGCCGAGGAGCATGGTCTCGAGGCGATTTAAGAGCGCGGTGGGCTCCAAGGCGAGCTGCGCCGAACTGGAGCGAGTCGGCCGCGCCCGAATTGCTGGCGCCGCATCGGCGCCGGTCGAGTCCGACACGACCGCGGTCTTCTCCACCGGCTCGAGGTTCGCTATCCGCGGCGCTGCACCGCGGATTCGAACGGCTGCTCGCTCCTGCTCGGCGGCTGGCCAGTCAGCAGGGCGCTTCGAGAGGGCGGTCGCCGTCAGTGCACGTTGACTATCATGGCGAGCGAGCAGCCCCGCAGTGAGTGGATGCAGCCCACCGGAGGTACTGTCTGAGGTGGGGCCCGGCGCGTGAGGCTCGTCGGCGTCCGCCATCACCGCCTGCGGCCACTGCAGAGTCGGCCAAACCAGGCTCGATTTTGGCCATTTTG